TTCACTTTTATTATTTGTTACTGTTCACCTTGCTCTCTATTTTAGTAATATGACCTTACAAACAGGGCTGAGGCCTTTGTTGCCACAAAATCGCGTCTGTCATCAGTATGTCTACAAGCCCATCATTTGTGCTCTACTGAAGACAAAGTGTATGGCAGCATTAGTGTACAGACGCGATGGGGGGGGGACGAATGTGGACGACCATAGCGATAACTTCTCAGACCTTCCGTGCTAGAAATGTCTCAGTTTGGGCTCCAGTCCGCCTTCCCGAGTTCGCTCTTGATTCCTCATTCATGGATGATTAATCCACCCCAATGACCGCGCACGAAGCCGTAACTGCTAATTTGGTCCTCAACATGGCCTATGCTGTAGGGCTGGCTGTGCTCACACCCACCTTCTGCTAATCTTATGGTTGTGGCATTCGGTGACTTTGTAGATAATGATGAAGCCCAATAAGTGATTTGGACATCTGCCTGCACAGGTGCACACCTTTAGTCTCTCACCAAGCATCTGCCTTTGTTTATGCCACTGCCTCATGATCTCCATATTCTCACACTTCGATGTCACTCATTTTCCCATGGCTTTGGAAAACTGAATTTTATGGTCACTGTTGTCACGTTTTTACCAGATTACCGAAAAGGCCGATTAAGACGCATTTGCTCGAGGTCTGCCTATCTCTTGTCTCCGTTTCCGGAAATCCACCGGCTTCCCTTCTCGGATCTGTTGTTCAAGGACGTCAGCACGATTCCCTTGCGTATAGTCTATTAGCGCTTCAAGCTTGAGGGTTGACTACTCCGAGACCTATTGTATGTCTAGACCGAGACCCCAATTCAGGCCACATAACGAACCCTTTTGCAGAATTTCAGCAAAAATGTAGACTTTCCTGTATGTATGCGCATAAGGTTGGCTTTTTGGGAGGTATTTCTTCCCCATTGTCTCAGTGCTTTCCATCGATCCATTTCGGTTCATACCTCTGTAGATGACAGTTACAGTCTTTTTGGCCTGTAAATATCTATCCTTCACAAACTATCAAAAAGGAGACGAGGAGCGAGGACTACGTGACTTCAGCCAAAGTCCAGGATAACCACAGGGCTCAATACGAGGTCCTAACTGAATGCCTTGCGGATAAGCGAAGACCGATGAGAAATTGACTGAAGTCTTCATGCATAATTATGAGTGGAATATATCACGAAAATGGAGTTCCGATGCACATCAGTGCAGAAGACAGATTAAGTAGTCATGTAAAGGAGAAGAGAGACTGGAATGACGGTTTCTCAGCTTATTTTTCACTAGTCAAACTCCGGCCCTAGGCCGGAAAGACCCGGAGTTTGAACCTAATTTCTTCACCCATTGGGTCAAAGTGCTGTACTACTAAGTCACAGGCTCACGTCCTGGTGGTTGCGATCCAGAGTATTTGAGGTTATAGGTGAGTTGCGTTCGTCCATCTGTTGTGATATCAGGCCGGAGTTCGGGCGTCCCTCTCTCCAGGAGCTGCGGTTCAGAGCCCTTCAAGGCGTGGCGCAGCAGCAGGCAACTGGCGATCTATTATATTAAAATTATAAATATTAATTATATTAACATTAATGTATTGGTTGATGATCGGGTATACCTCTCGGTAGTTGATTGCCCATCTCTGTACTACGTTTTGCCTACACTATGAGCCACCACTATGTTCGTCTCGCTGCCAGGCCTCGCCTAGAAAACGCCTTCTGGTACCAAGCTCGTGCAAATTCGTAATACAGGGACCCTCTCTCCAAGTGTCCCCCATTAACCAAGTTCTTAATCTACCCACAGTACTCAATTGCGCTGTTATTTATGGACTGCCTTTCCACTTACAGTGGATTTGCTAACTCATGGAATGTGTCAAAATTTACGAAACATTGTGGATTAGTCGCAAACCGACATAAACGGATGCACCAAAGTTTTGAAATAACAGTGAACGCCTTTAAGCGAATTGAAAACAAAAGAAATACCAAAATTTGTCATAACTGTGTAAACTTCAGTTTTAGGTGTACTTAAAGCCTATCTATACAAGGGTGAGTAATTTCAACAACACAAGTAGAATAACGTTTGAAGACAGGCCTTTGGTAAAGTTTACATTTGGATATCGTTCAGGAATTAGTTTAATGTCAGGCATGGCGGTTAGCCAGAAGCCTACAGTTTGAGTTTTAATCCTAAAACGGTCTCACGAGAACTGGCTGCACTTTTCCCGTTTTTACACTGAGATGCGGTCGACTAAGGTAAACAGGAATCTGCTTGATTTTGCCGATAGGGACCTCACAGATCTGCAAATATTCCCATGTTACAATTGAAAAGTCAATTTGGCAAACACGTGGTTTCGGTAACTCGTCATCAGGCCAGAACAGTTGCATAGAAGTTGAAAATACTCGAAGTCACTGAGTCACTTATAAACCATGTGAACTTCGCATATTTTCAACTTCCATGTAACTGTCTTGGCCTCATGACGAGTTGCCGAAAACATGTGTTTGCCAAATTTTCTTTTCAATTTCATAAGATCACAAAGTTCAGTCGTCAAAATATCATTTTGAGTATATTAGGAGAATTTTCCTTCCGTCAGATTTCTTTGTTTTTTTTTCATGTGCTAGAGTACGTCGATTTCCCGATCGGCGAATATTTCACGATTATAAGTGTTTTCAACCGATTGCTCGTAAAGAATGATTCCGTGTTGTGCCTATCAAAACCTTCAAAATAAGATATTTATTGAAAGCATTTACGAAGTAGCCATTGTAGCCTGACTATCAGACCACCACTCGGCCGCTCCACACAAACACACAGTGAGCCAGCTACGAGACCAGAGTTCTCCCATCAGTTGGCAACCTTCAAAGCCACGGCTTTTGGCGCACCCTGGTAGCTTTAAGCGCGTCAGATTGTTTATAGCAAGGAGAGCGCGCAGAGTCGTCGACTTCACTCTATATTCCCATTTTCAGCCCTCAATCACTGCCTGAGCCCGTCAGTTGGCAGGTACGGGAATGAGCGCAGTGATTGACAGAACCAAAGCTCGTTTGTTTGCGCCACATGCACGACTTAGCTCCCCTAACGCAAGCACAAGGGAGATAGAATGCCCGGGTCTCACATGTAGTAGCGGGGCCACAGGGAGAAAGGGGCCGAAAAGCACACTTCTCACTTGCGTAAGAAGTGCCGGTGACGTGGGATTTTGGAGGGGTGTATATGTCGTGCATATGCTCGTCGGGGAGTGTGTGGTGATGTGGTCGTGTTTGCGGTGATTTACCGCCGGTTTTCATAAAGGTGCATGTGACCTAATAGGCCTATGCGCTGAGTGAATGTGCGTGTACTGTGCGGGCAGTGGAGGCGGGTGTACGTCGGGGCATTGGACGCTGGTGCATCGGTGTCAGTGCGATGAGTTCGCAAGGGACCGACCAGGCTGATGCGTGAGGTGAATGTGCGATCGCAATGAGGACAAGTTGGAACCGAGCCCACATCGCTGGAGGTAGGGGGTTGTAGCGGTAAAGGTGTTTGTGGTTGACATAACATAGGAAACCGCCGAAATACAAGGTAGCGTAGATTTCCGCTCAAATTAGAAAACATTTTGACTGAGAATTATTTGTAAACGTATTCTGCGTACAAAAACGACTTTTTCCGGAGCACGCTAGACGAATAAATAAAATTTGCGATAATTGGGGTGCCTAAAATTAGTCATCTCAATTTCCGTCATCTCGTTTCACGAGTTAGGTCACATGCCGTACGTTTTATTTGCTGTACTGTGTCACTGTTCACGGCGTCGCATGCTTCTCTGTTAGCGCCCATTCTACAAACAAAGTTGCTGTCGCCTCCTGTGCCTGTGTTACCGCTCTTTTCTGACCGAAAAATCTCAATTTGTCCCCTTGTAGGGTGACTTGACTTCGCAGCATCCGAGGGTTGAGTCTGGCGATCAATCGCGAGTAAAGTTGCGTCTAAAGCGGGTAAGTGCACCCGATGATCTTTTATGACCACCTTCTCATGCCTTCTTCATCCACTAATTCTTTTGCCCTCATTAATCCGCCTGCGTAGTGCTTGCTGTCCTCACCAGGTGTAAGTTTCCTCCTTAGCCCAATGCCACTTAGCACGCAACCAGTACTTCACCCATTTTTCTGGTCCCGGGTGTTGCTCCTTTCGCGTCGTGGCCCCTTCCTCTTTGCAATCTGTGTTTGCACAGTCCGTGATTACTCACACATGACCTTGCCATGTGTGTGCGCACCAAAAGCATGAATACATGCGCACTCGTGGTCCTTACACACCCTGGCCTTGAATTGCACCACTTTGTTCTCTGCCTGACGTAGTTGCTGTTTGTCGTCGATCTCCGTCTTTTCGCTCCACCCCCCACCCTTTTGATGCCACTCAACCCGCCAAATGACGACTTTGCGTCTTATTCATGAGTTGGTTAAGTCATCATGTCCATGCGCGTCTAAAAATGACCCCCGTGTATTAGTCGTATGTAGCCTACATGCTAGTGAAACCTTGAGAGCAGACGCTGAGCCACCGCGATGAGTGTGACAGAAGGCCGCCTGTGGCCATTTTAATGGAAATGGCTCTCTTGAGCTGTAGCCGTCATTTTCAATACTCGACATGTGTTTGTACTCGGGGTATCCCATTTTTGGCAGATGTTGTATCCTCCTGAACTTTTTTCGGCTCAAAGTGATGACATTCCCCTCCCCACCTTGCTGGAATCATACCTGATATAACCGACCTCAAGGACGTCCTGAATGATACATCTGTGCGCTGCAATTGATGGCGGCGGATCTAAAGAGATCGATCAACCCTCTTTTGTGGCGACGTAGGGCGAACACCCGAGCTCCATGAACAATCTCCATATCTTGATGGACTATGCAGAGAAGTGGTACTGATGAGGATGAGGAAGATTGGACTCTCCACTTCCGGCATATTTACTGTCATCAACCGAGATGACCCGAGGCTTGAACCCGGACCCTCTGTTCATTCATCCATTCATCGACCCCCCCCCCCCCCCC